TCCGCACAGAGAGAGAGAGAGAGAGAGAGAGAGAGGGAGTGAGATAACAAGCAGAATACGGGCACACAAGACACCACACGTGCCGAGCAACGACTGATGACAATATCTCCATGCTGTTTTAGTTCCATTTCATTTCGCAGGCCCACCGTGCCCAGCGCCCCAGCGGAGAAAGCTGGCGCTTGGGCGGATGCTTTCTTAGATTTTTATCTTGCTGAGAAACAAACACAAACATTCATGACAACCACAAGGCGTGTGCCCGTGTGCCTGTTCGCGCCCAACCACGCACAACGCCGATACAAAACGCGGCCACACCATTTCCCCCACAGATCCACAAGGAACAAGAACCGCAACCGCCGCCACACAAGCTACGCGATCCAGCCGCTTGCCGCAACAAACCACCCCGCCACATCCTCCGCGCCCTCCGTTGCGAGCGAAACATACGCCACCAGCGCCTGACCAGGGGTTAATGCGCGGACAGGGTCCTCAAACAGAACTGTCGCGCGACTCACGCAAACACGCCCATTTGCCTCCCTCACCTCACTCCACGCAAAGCAAAGTTCCGCTGGGCGCAACGGTTCCTGGTGCCGCGCACAGCAGCGACACCGAAGCCGCACATTCACGGCTTGCCGTTCAAGCCACTGTGGGTGCAGCGAGAGCGCGACGTCGCGTAGCTCCGCCAGCGTTGCATAGAGTAGGGGATGATCCCAGCGGTCCACCAGCCACACAGTACGCAAGTAGCGCGCGTACCCCCAAGCATCGTTATAACCAGCTTCGTGGTTCTCAACTTCACTGGAAGGGAACAGCTCCTTTCGTTGCACGTAGTACCGCGCCGATTCCCCGCCGTCACCTTTGCCTCGGATCAGCTGTCCAAGTGTCAGGCTATAAGCGGGTAACAGAGGCCCACCATCTTCCCCCTGAAGTGCCAATTCCGATGCCTTTACGACACCTTGGGTTTCGGCATTTATAAATGCCGTCTGTCTGCCTGCGGCTGTGAGTCTCTGAAGGGTCGTGTTGTCCAGGGCGATGTATTCCTCCAGGAAGGAACGGAATCCACCGACGCAACCGCCACCATCGCCCCGTCTCACTTTCCTGTAATGCTCGCCCACAAAACACAACCCTGTGCTCGTCTTTTTCGCACTTACCTGTTTCATGCCAAAGTGTTCTGCCACAGCGCGCACATCAAGCTTTCGCGCAAATACATGGCCTAATGGAAAAATTGCCCTCCGTGTCTGCTTTGCTGAAAGGCGCGAGAGAAATACCGTCTGATCGTTGAGGTCATTTCTAGCAGAGAAGGGCCTGGCAATCACCCGCAGTGGTGCGGGTGTCTCACTGCTACCACGTAAACGAGGAACAGAGACAGTACGGGCATAGTGGCCCGTTGCAAGGTAAGCCGCCCTTCCTGTGGTGAGTAGGGCGTCAAGGAGTGCCTGAAACTTCACCTCCTCATTGCATAATACATCCACATTGAGAGTCTCTCCACGAGCATAGGCGCTCAGCATAGGTTGGAAGCACTTCTCCACATAACAAGTGCTATAGTTATGCAGCGGCAACAGATCCCCATGGCGAAGAAGGCCTAACAGGCGCGCAACATCCATCGCGTCGTGGTAGTCCTGCTGCGCCGCCTCACACCAGCGTCGACCAACGCCGTCGCTCTCTGAAGCATCCTCCCAGTTTCTCATAAAGAGCGGGAAGTAGTGGACCGCTGCTGCAGGATCGTGAGTGGCCTCCGCCGTTGCAGGCGCAAAGGCCACAACCTCCGACCATGGTCGTTGTTGCTCGAGAGCCTCAACCACCTCACACAATTGCAGGGGACGCTCTGTTCTCCACAACGCCTCCACATCACACCAACGCGGCACGCAGCGGCGCAGGAACAACGCTGCCACCGCACTGTCGACGCCGCCCGAGAGGGCCGTTGCCACTCGCACGGCAGTAATGGGCATTCGCTATTTCTCCTTGCGTCCGTTTTGTGCCTTCCCCACGCACTTGCCCAATGTCCCCTACCCGCCGCCGCCGCCGCCCGTCGGCATCTCGCAGACAACAAGAAGCACCATCAGCAGGAGCATAGGGCACCATTTACCACATACCACAAAGAGACAAGAGACAAAAACGGGTAACAGACCTCCTTTGGCAGCGGGCAGCATGGCCAAGCCCCGAAGACACACAGGACAAATAATAACATAATAACGAAAAACATTACTACCGCCCCTTTTTTCCTACTTCATGGTTGGGGGCAAACAAACAAACAAACAAATAAAAAAAAAGGGTGGGGATGGGGGGCAAAAAGGAAAAGAACCGAGCAGGCAAGGTGAGCAACCATATGTAAACCCCTCCTTTTCTCTTTCATCATTCACACATGCACAAATTTTCTTTTCACGGCCGCTTTGTTTCCTCAACCTTCTTCCTGGCATATGTTTTAAGGTGAGGCCCTCTGCGAGGCGTCGGACGGAAGCAGCTCCACTATTTTTTCCTCATCATGCTCATATACAGAAATATACCACACCAAGTAGTCGCGAACCGCCACAATGACTGTCCCAGCCGTGACTGCCAAAAGCCGCACAAGGCCTTGAAACACCTCGGGCGTTCCAGCGACTGCTTGCAGCTCTTTCCGTTGCGTACCCGTAAGCACAGAGGTCGCTGCATCGGTCTGTTGCAGGATGGTCCTTACCCAGTGTGCCACCACAGAGGAGAGCTCCTGGTACATCCCTACGTTGCAGCTGCGTATATGTTGCTGCTCCTGAGGGCTCAGGCGCTGCATAGCCGCTGTTTCTGCGGAACTATCCGCCGTCTTTTGCACCTCCCGAGTGCTGAGGGTGGAGGTCTGCACCGTTGCCGTGATGCGCAGGACCTCCCCAAAGACGTTGCGGAGTTCCGAGATGTCAGTCCAAAGCGCGAGCGCCAGGAAGGCGTTCAGTCCTCCCCGGATGGCAGCATGAGGAAGAAGAGCGTTGCTTTTGGAGATGGACGGCGCATCACGCCCTTTTTGCGTTGCCCTCGTCGCAAACTCCTCCATCTCCACTACATTGTTCACACGCCACAAAATGGCAAAAAAGATACCAACGGCCTCTTGCACCAACTCCTTCAGCAGCCGGTAATCTGCGGAAGGAGGCGTCCACACCCCCAACCCAACTTGCTGCTTCTCTGCCCTTTCTTTGTCTTGCTCTTCTTCCTGTCGTTGCTGCTTCTGTGGTGGAGAGTGTCTGGTCGCGGTGCCGTTCTCCGGCCCCAAGGCAGGAGGAGGGAGAGCACCCAACACCTTCGGCAGCGGTGGCAGCAGCTGTGCCATCAATGTACAGTACTCCACCAACTGCTCATCCGTCGCCAACTCCCCAAGCGGCGAGGACCAGCTGCCACGCATCGTGCGGAGGAGTTCTTCGGGCTCCACCTCCTCCGTGACGCCAATCGTCGAAATATGCCGGCTTCCTGTCACTTCATATGCCTCAGCGGTCCACAGCGTCTGAACAGCCGCCGCGCCTTCCCGCATGTACGCCGAAAGAGCACCCGACTTTTCTTCCTTCACCCACTGGCGCCCGGCATGGTCAGCGCCGTCAGGAACGATAAAACGCACGGGAACACGCAGCGCAAAAAGAAGCAGACTCACACACTCCGCAATGATGCGGCTGCTGCGGCTGCTGCAAGACTTTTTACCATCAACGGTTTGACGCGTGACACAAAGAGAAACAGCGTGCATGAGGAAGCGAACGGCAGTTGCACGAATCTGGAAGGAAGAACGCGGTGACACAGCTAGGGGAACCAGGCAGTGCTGCAGCACGATCTCCGCAATGGCATCCATATGCTCCAGTGGCCCCTCCGAGAGCATCTCCTGCGACATGAAGTTTAACACAAGGGGAAGAGTGGCACGGAATGCGGTGGGCGAACACCTGCGCATGACGATGGACGCATTCAGGCCAAAGAGGACGTGGCTCACGCCAATTGGCTCTGTCAGGGAGGGCTTGTACTCCGGTGTCGCGTGGCCCAAGGAGGCCTCCAGCACGGCGTCGGCAAGGTGCACGGCGAGATGCTGCAATTGAGAGGGCGCCAGCTGCATCACCAGCGCGCGTAGGGCGCTGATGACATCCGTCCGTGTTTGTTGTGCATGGCAGAAGAGGAGCAGGCTCATGCGTTCCAGCGCGTGGAGGACGAGCATGTTCGGCCTCTGCCGCACATTCTCGACGAGTTGTTGCAGGAGAATTGTGCTAATCTCCGTGGCGGAATTTGATTCCGCCACGTGTGCTGCGGTAGTGAGGGGCGGCGACTCAATTTCCGAGGGAATTGTCCCATCCCGATTCAGCGCAGTCGCACAAATGGTAGAAAACTGCGCCACACATGACTGTGCACTGTCAACGTCGCTGCACATGCCCCCGACGTACGCCACGTTCACCAGAAGTAGCAGCAGAATATTGCGGACGCTCTCCGGCAGCTGAACGTCAACAGTTGAGCCGCCCGTTCCACAACCAAGAACGACAAGCTTGCGAAGTATGTGCACGGCGAGACTGCATGTCTCTGTTCCCACACTATCCTTGTCTGAAAGGGCTCGCACGACGGGATGCAGCAACTGAAGCCAAATCCGTGCCATGAGGTACAGTGTATGCGCGTGAAACCCCATTGGTCCCCTCCTGGTTGACCCCACCTTGAGCAGCGTGCGGGCAATGAGCTCCTTCACACCTTGCAGCACGTGCATGCGCGCTTCCGCCGAGGCCCCACACTGCTCATAACAGCTCCGAAAAAAGGAAAAACAGTTGATTAGTTCCGAGTGCCGGCCAACCGTCTCCGACCTCACTCCGCAGATATATGAGCCCCACACGGTGTTGAGAATGTCCACAACAAACTCCACCACAAGGCGCATGTATTCATCACCCTTTCCACGCCGAGCTTCCGCGACATCAACAAGCCTCGGAACCACAAGACCACTGAAGTCACGCACATTGATTAAGTTCGTCACAACCGTCCCTTGCTCTTCTGCATGCGAGATGAGCGAGTACCCCAGGAACCGACGCAGCACATAAAATGCAGCAAAAAGCATCTTTCCATCGGCACTTGTGTTCTGCAGAACGGTCGAAATGCCCTGCAGCACCTCTTGCACAGCTCTTGTAGCGGCAACAGGTGCCTTTGGAGATGCCTGCGCACGATCAATCTCGCAGGATTCACGGGTAAACTCCTCCACGCGACCAAACACCGATTCCGCCTCAACCACCATCTTCTGTTGCTGGTTTCGTATAGCCACCAGCAACTCCACCACGGGCACCCAACACATCGCTGAAAAAGAACCACTATGGGATGAGGCTGCTACTTCAAGAATACTCCTGTGGCACACATCACGCATAGGTCCATAAGAAGCCATGCGCAGTAGTGCCAGCTGCGATACACCACATTCCGTCTGCAGGCCAAATGCAGCAGCCACAAAAAAACTGCATCGGAGGCCCATCATGCAAAGCGTCAAGGCCTCCTCTGGCACTTTGGCTCCATGCACAGCAACACCAAAGACGGCGCACAGCGAAGGCCATGTGCTAAGAAACAAATCCTGCGTGATGCAACACCAACACATCGGCGTCGTCTCATCCAAGTGGACGTCACCACCACTGTAGCGGTACACCAACTCACGGGTCTCGCTGAGGAGACGCTGCCGCACGACATCAAATGCCAATTCACGGCGCTCTTCACCAGAAAAAAAAAGGAGTCCATTTTCCCCGGAAACGGCACCGTTGCATACCGCACCCCACTACTCATTCCTGCTGACCAGAACCCCTTCATACTGGAGAGCGAGCGCAGATGCACTTCATGAAAGATGCTCTTTGTGAAATGCTCTGGAAAGTCTTTACCCTCGTTGCACCCCTTCAGTTGAGCGTAAAAGCTGGAATCCGTCATTCTCGCAGATGCAACGTGTGGATTGTGCAGGTTTGTGTTTAGCATGATGACTGCCACACCCACAATAAAGCACGCGTTTTCAGTTTTAAACGGAAACATCTCGGCATCTACACCCTCGACCGAGTTCGCCTTGAAGTACGCGCTGCAGAAAAACTCAAGTAGCCGTTCAATGCGCTGTCCTTCTTTAGGCAGTTGCACCAGAGTAAATAAAATCCGCATTGCGTCCACAAGACTTTTACCAGCAACCGGCAATGTCTCCATAAAGGCCCGGCACACCTGCAACGGAAGCACCACTGGGGATGAGAGAAACTCTGCAACCGATTCAGGATTTAGCGAGGGCGTCTCCATCAGAAATTGCGCTATGCGGTGTACTTTTGTGTCCGTCGCGTGAGATGCTGGTAGTGGGATATGCTGATGCGCCCAATTCTTCTCGGCCACGTTTTTATACCCAGTTGGGTTCATTTCGTCATCAGCGACATCAAACAACTTTTTGATCCCTTTCAGGGGAGAGCTGTTAAAGACGTCAACCGCCCGTTGCTCCTCTAGTTTCCTGTCACGGTTTTCAATCCTTGGGTAGGTCTTGCCTCCCGCGCCACCACCGTCCCGCGAGATGTGCCTAGAGAGCAGCTCCACCGCCCATGAAAGACCTTGGAGAGCGATAAATGGCGGACTCTTCTGCGGCACGATGGGCTCCTGGTTGTCGCTTTTCGTTTCTTTTTCGTCAGCGAAGTCTTCTGGGGCGGCGCAGCGTACCGTTTTTGAGAGCGTCGCGATGGCCTGCTGCACCACGTTCAGTTGATGCCAACGGACGTTCAGGTCAAACCGTTGGTACAGGCGCAGTAGCAGTGACGGCTGTTCAACGTCCTTCATGGGTGTGAAAAATGTGCTGATAACATGTCGAAGGAGCAGGCGCCGCATCCTGTGTGGGGTGCTGTCCGACTCCAGCAGCCCAAAGACCCCGCCTGTGTACACAAACCCCACCTCTGAGCCCACACACTCGGGGCAGCCCACGATGATCCGCTGCAGCGTATCCAGGCCTGCCTCTAACACCGCCGGCTCTAGCGACACGAGGCAATTCAGGATGCCCTCCGCTATCCGTTTCCTCCATGCCGAGCACCCAAGCACGTGCCGAAACTCCTCCATGTCTGTTTCCATCAAGTTCTTTACTGTGTCGTTCAGCACCCGTACGGCCATCAGTTGGCCTTCATTCTGGTCTCCACAATACTCTGCGACGCAGGCGATGTATTCAGGCGAAAATGCCACGGGAAACACCGCGTCCATAACGCAACAGGCCATTCGATAACACAGTAGGTGTGTGGTTTCCATGCCGTCCCAGTCCGGAAACGACTCCGACTGAGGAAAGCCGATACGAAGGGATCGTTCCGCGGCAACATCCGGTTCCTGTTCCCTGCCACCTATGCCCCCCGATAACGGTTGCCGCCTGCATCGATTCAACCACGATGTGGGTGTCACCCACTGCACCAAAGCAAATACGTTTGCACATACATCTTTCTTCAGACCCCGTTCCTCTGGAGAGGACACATCGTCCTTCCGCGAGGCAACCGACATCAAGTAACGCACACTGGAGCAGACAAGACTCATGAGGTGTTCAACACTAGCAAGCAAAGAGGGTCCCATCTGAAGACGTAGTTCTTGTGCCCGCCGCTTAGCACCTTGCTGCAGCTTTGCCGCATCCAGTGACGGATCATCGGGATCGCTGGCATCAGCCCTCATCATGCGCAAACGCCTCATTTCCTCACAGAGGGCCCGATACACAAAAAAGGTAACACACTGACGAAGCTGCTTTAGAACATCCACGCAAACCTGTGCCGCGAACCGCATCGAAAGTACATCCATAGGACTCGTCAAAAGCTCAATGCACTTCATCACCGCGTTGGTAGCAATCCGAATATCACGCGAAAAAGGTATAAAAGAATATGCAGATGAAACTCCATTATCCTCTCCGTTGACCTTAGAAAGCAATTCTTCTGCTTCACGCGGCTCACCGTAGACTTGATGCAAAACCTGCTGCAGGGAACACGCAATGATAGAGAAGCAGCGAACTATAACGAGACGCGCTGCGTTACGTCCTACGCTGCGCAGCTTCATTATTTCCTGCAAACCACTAGAGAAGAACATGCCAAGAAACTCTGCAAAGTCCTCCAGATTGCGCGTCTCAAAATCGCTGGACAGAGCAAAGCTAGCGCTCACTGAACCGTGAAGCATTTTGTTGCTCGCGCTGTTCCCCATGTCCACCGTAGAGGAGAGGGCATCTCCACAAAGCGATCGTGCACTCGGGGGTGCCGTGACCGACGTCAAGACTGAGGCCAGCTGTGGCGGGGTTAATGGGCTTCTGCCGCTGCCAGTGTTTTTGTTGCTGTCATCTATTCCCCCGGTTACGTCGGGGGAGCTTGACTGGAGCGGGTCCCGGTCGTGCGATGGTGCGACGGAGCCACCAGGGGTTGGAGCACAAATGGACGGGTGTGGTGTCCCCACCTCGCCCACCTCCCGCACCCACACCTCCAAGCCCACCTGCAGGTCCTGCAGCTTGCACTTTTGGCTTCTCCTTACAATGTTTTGGGCCTGCGTAAGCAGAGACCGCAGCTGCACCAAAAAAGTGGTGCGGTTTTCCAGGTCCGCCGCCAACTTTGGTGAGGCGCGCTGCATGGACGAAGTTCCTCGCCCCCCTGAAGAGATGCAAAACAAGCAAAAAACAACAACAACAAACAAACAAACTGAAGAGAAAAACAAAATGGGACTCCGCGTGTGTAAGAGAGAGAAAGAGAGAAAGAAATATAACAAAATAACAAGAGGAGTTAGCCGCAGATTACCGTTACACCCAGCACACGCACAGTAATACAAAAACAAGGCACAAGAGGAGCGAATGAGTTACAGACAAGACAACAAGACAGATAATACGGAGGGAAGGGGCGCAACTAGTGGGGAAACACCTCGCCAACACACTCCACAAAACGTGTGGGGAGGTTTTTCTTCTCGCGTGGGACACCGCGGTGACCGTAGTGGTACCCAAGCTTCTGCTTCATCACAGAGATAAACTCATCAAACTCCACGACTCCGTCATTGTTGCGATCAAAGAGGGCCATGACAAGGTCCAACTCCACATCAACAAAAGGGGGCAACCCCGCGGCCTTGACTGCACGGTTGAAGTCTTTTTTCCTTAAAGGAAGCCCCGAGGAGGTGAACAGCTCCACCACCTCCGCTATCTCGTCGGCGTGCTGCATGATGCGATGAAATCCAATCCACAGTTCAAGCGTGATAGTCTCTCCACTACCCCGCAGCTTTCGTATGTTGCCCACAATGTGAAACGGTGGATGACTCCCAATCATATGGTTTGCGATGAGTTTTCCAAATTGTTCAGCGGTGATGCAGTCGTTGTGGTCCGTGTCAAACTGACGGAACTCGGCCGTCCACACCTCCACGTTGACGGCGTCGAGTGTTTCTGCAACTTCCTTTAAGGTGCAGCGGCGGCATCCATCCTCGCCAAAGAGTAGTCGCACAATACTGTTTTTTTGACCACGCGTCAACAAGTGCGCCTGCTTCCTGCTGCAGCCCAACCCCCGCAACACCCCTGCAAACTCGTCCAGGCTCAAACTCCCCACACGGTCCTCATCCAACACGGAGAAAAGCACCTTTATGTCCTCCGGTCTGGCCGTTAGCAGCACCATAAGAAAAGAGAACTCACTCAGGCTGAGATACGCGTTGCCGTCGGCATCAAGGTCGGTGAATAGTTTGGTCATGCCCGCCACCACAGCAGGGTCCGGTGGCTCGTTATCGCTTGAGGCCAGCAAAGCCCGTACAAAGTCTTCAACCGTCATGTACTTTGCACCGCCTTCACGCTTACGGTAACTCGCGTAGTGCCTGAAGCGGGTGGTAATGTCGCGCAAGTAGTACGGGACGAGATAGTCAGGCGTGTCAAGCGGGCGGCAAAGCGCCACGGAGGCAGCAACGCTGGTGACAGCAACCCACGCAGCGGAGAAAATAAATATGGACCTCGTCGCCGAGTGGCCACACCACCGCTGGCCCGCGGCCCAGACACGTGAGCGTCGTCTCCACCAACAAATACCGTGATGCCAGGACCACCGTTGCATATACATGAACCGCAGCGCCCAACGCGGGGTTTCCATGTAGCGCCACGCAGCGCGAGATTCCTGACGCTAAACGCAACAGCGATGCGAAAGAAGACTCAAGAAGAAAATCAACAGGACGTGAGAACCAAAAAAAAAAAAAGAAAAAAAGATAGAAGCAGCCCCTTCCCGCCCAGTGTAACAACAACACCACACCCCAACGTCAATACGAGGAGCATGTGTGGTACGCAAGCAGCATCAGTTGGTTCCTCCCCTTCTTTAGTATCCCCTTCACTTTTTCTGATGTGAACATGGCTCCTGGACAGACTCCTCTGGGCACAGTACACTCACGGCGGAAGATGCATTCCCGCTAACATCAAAGTACTGTGCCACGTTTACAACGTCCTTTGGTTCAACACTTAACAAAGCGTCACGCATCGCCTGCTTCTGTGTCGGAAGCACATCGTGTAGGAAGTACGATTCACCGTAGCTGTCGGCAGCGTATGGGGCGTCGATGCTTGCAAATATGCGGAGTTTCGCCTCATCCACCCTCACTTGCGTAACATTGTTGGCGTTTCCAAGCCAACTCGCAACCTCCTGAAAGACACGTACAGTTTGCTCCGGCGCAGGATCGCGGTAGCTGGACATGGTGATGCCACCCACCTCCCCTTTAAGAGTGGCGTCTGCAGTTGACCCGTAGGCCCCACCCTCCTCGCGAATGAGGCGGTGCAGGTACTCGTTTCCAAGCAGCTGACATGCCACCCGTAACGGCGCTTGTTGAGGATGACTCCAGTCCAACTCGTTTGCAACGGCAAAGCCCACGTAAGAGGTGTCAATGGGCAGCGTCTTACGGATCTGCGGGACACCAGTGGATCGCTCTAACGCTGGAAACGAGAGACGTGTTGAGACTGGTGCACCAGAAGTAACGGTAGGAAAACTCCGCAGGAACGCTGCCAACGCTGTCTCCACCTCATTGCGGTGCTCTCCTTCGCATGTTGCCCAAAGAGTACCATGGCGAATGTTTGACGCCAGCGCTCGAGCGAAGGCTTCATAGCAGCTTAAAATGTTTACAATGGCGTGACGCACAGCTGCCTCATCGCCATTTTGAATACTCTCAAGCAACTGAGAGGCATGCATCGACTGCGTGAGACCGGACCATTCCTCCTTCACAGCTCCACAGCGTGTCAGGCGTGAGATTGCCAGGGTTGTGGCAACACGATTGCCATAATGCTGCAGACGCTGAATAACTTCAGAGCAGCGTGCTTTGGTCAGAGACAAGACGCGACCACGCACAGCATCATCCTCAGCGGAGGTTGCTGGCTCAAGAAGAGTGATTTTAAGAAGCTCCAACGCCTCCCGTAGCTTCTCCTTCGTTGTGTAGAAGCCAAAGGCGGTACCAAGGATATACGCAGACTTCTGTCGATAGGACTGGTTAAGTACCGGGGAGAAGGCAAAACCACCGCAGACAAGCTCTGTGGCGATGGACAGTTCCTTGAAGGAATATCCACCCGCGCCCAGTTTTCCAAGCAGGGAGTGCCACAGGGGAATATCCGCCAAACAGTCAGTAGCCCCGCCTTCCCGGATGGACGACACCAAAGACGCTTCAAAAGGCACAAGACCATGCACATACACCAATCCGTTTGTGGAATTTGAAATGGTATAAAGAGATGCGTGGTCACCGGACTTTGCATGTTGTGGGGTGGGCTCCTGAAAGGATTGACATGGGATATCCCTCACGGTGAGAGTAGGGAGAAGATCACCGTTTTGTGGTGCACGAACTCGCTCAAGCCAACTTGCCGTTTCTGCCTCAATCTCCTCCTTGCGAGCATCCGTGACACCCTCGTTTAGCTTCTCTTCCATGCAGGTGAGTGTATCACGGAGGGACTCCAAGTACTCCTTCTTCGCTGAGACCGACACCAACGCACAGTGGGGATTGTCAAGAAGATTCTTGGAGATGCGTGGGAGAAGTGGAGCTACTTGTTTCTCCCCCAGTCGCCGTAGGTGTGGGAGCCAATCAATAAAGTCAAGCGGGTTATTTGCGGCACGACACAGGCCTATCGAGCAAAGGCATGTGCAAAGACTCACACCATAGTCGGCCGCACGGTGTCGTTGCTGCAGCTCCTCTTGAAAAATAACGGACTGCACTCGACGCTGGTCAAACCCCTCCTTCTTCACCTTTTGTAGAGTGGAAATAACAGCGTTTAATACCTCCTCCTCCGCGTTTGGTCGAGCCTCATCCACACCTTCGACACCGTATGAAACAAACGGTGAAGAGAGATAAAAGGAGTAGCCTCGCATCGGTGCGTAGCGGCTTCCAATCTGTGACTCCACAAGCGCCTGATAGAGCGGGGAGCTGGGACCACTTGAGAGCAATGAATCCAGCACACTCAAATCCACCATATCCTCCAGCTGGTTATCTTCCTGCTGCACCCCAAAAGAAACCGAAATGCGCTTCTGACGCTGTGGATTTCCCATTGAGTTTAGTGGCCCTTGCAAGGAAATCCGCTGCATCTGACGGAAGCGTCGCTCCAGAGTTAGGGTGGGGACTGTGATCACCTCGCCCTTCGAAAAGGACGAGAAGTAGCTGTCAAGAATCGCCATCCACGGCTCTGGGTGCTGCGCACCGTAGGTGAAGGTGATGCTGTTGCTGGGGTGGTAGTGTCTCCTGTGAAAGGCCACCAGCTCTTCGTGGGTGAGCTTCAACACTTCCGGTGGGTATCCGCCGGAGATGTGTTCGTAGTGCGTCCCTGGGAGCATAAGCCGCATTAATGCGTGTGCGTAGTGCTGCGCGGGTTCCGAAACCACCCCCCGCATCTCGTTAAACACAACCCCGTTATACACCAGCCGCCTCCCTGCTCCCTCTTCTCCGCCCGCCCCAATTTCCACGCGGTGACCCTCCTGCTTAAAGTCCTCCACACGCAAGAGTGGGTGCAGGACGGCGTCAAGGTAAACATCCATCAAATTGCAGAAGTCCTGCCGGTTGGTTGTGGCAAACGGGTAAAGGGTGTAATCGGCACCGGTCATAGCATTCATAAATGTGCTCAAAGAGCGGCGCATCATCATGAAAAAGGGGTCCCGCACCGGATATTTTTTACTGCCACACAGTACGGTGTGCTCCAAAATGTGCGACGTCCCCTTGTCGTTCTCGGCGGGAGTGCGAAACCCAATGCAGAAGGTGCAGTTCCGATCATCTGCATCGATATGATAATACACGGCCCCGGTCCGCTCGTGCCTCCACTCGTAGGCAACTAGATTGAGTTCATCAATTCGACGCGTGTCTTTATGTGTGAAGCCGTGTGTGTTTGCTTGGCTGAGCAACGGCCTTTTTCCAGTCGTCACAGGTGCGGCGGCGGCTGCCGCGCAACACCGCAGAATTCTGCGGCAAAGCATCTTCCCTTTCCCTTCTCGTTTCTATCTGGTTACTCCTTCAAGCAATACAAACTCTAACAGAACAAGAAGAGAGAGAGAGAGAGAGAGAGAGAGTGCAAAAGAAGAGGGGATACGTGTCGAAGAATATTTACCGCGGCCGCGCGACAGCAGAAGTAAAACCACACTACAGACCCCGCCGGGGCGGTGCGGCGGAAGTGGGAAGAAACACAAACAAAAGAAAGAGAAAACACACACGCAGCAATAAGAAATTGTTTTCACTTTTTCACTTGAAAAAAAAAATATAAGCAATAATAAAATTCCTTCCTTCACGTGAATCCACCTCCTGCACCACCGCACACACGTGGCTGAAGTGATTGACAGGTGGATATATACTTCACTTCTTTTCTCCTCCCTCACACGTTCTTGTTTTTGCCTGGATCTTCTTCTTCTTCTTCTTTTCCTTCCCCTGGGAGTTGGCGTACCTCCCTCGCCAGCACTTATTCCACCTCTGCGGAGGTCACACGTACTGGGCACTGTGTTTGTGTTTTTGTGTATGTTTGTGTATGATATAGGTGAGAATGTTGCCTGTTGGCATCCATTCCTTCTCACCATTCATGCAACTCGAGCATACAATAAGAATGAATATATTTATATGTGCGCATGTGTCAAAGGAACACCACTTTGACTCACTGCGTTATGCCTTCCCTTTCTGCTCGCTACTTCGTGTATTGGGTTCACTCCTCCACCTCAATGACGGCGTCCTTCACGCCCCGTGGACGACGATAGCCCAAGTCGTCGGGGCCATCCGTGGCGTACATGTCCTCCACCTCCGCGTCGTCAGCGCCGAACTGAATAAAATACTGACGGCTTTCGCGGTACTTCAGTACGCCGTAGACTGCCATAGCCACCACCACCACCACCGTCAAGCACGTAATCAGCAGCACCAAAATATGACCACCGTACTTCTTGAGAACCACCACGTCGTCGCCAAACGCAAAGAGGTGCCGGCTTCCCTCCACAGAGGCGATGCCAAGACCTACCAGAGGCGTCAACTTCTGCTGCCCTAGGGAGAGGATGTAGTTCTGCCTCTCCACCGTGTCGCAGGAGGCCGCCTCCCCAAGGTCCTCGCAAAGGATCGAAAGATACATCACTTGACGTCCATCCGGATCATGTGTCACATGCGTCACGGCAAGCGCAGCACGCGGAATGCAAAACCGCTGGCTGAGTGTTTTGAGAAGATCCTTTGGCAATCTAGTACCATTGAACGTAAATTTTAAGCTCTTGTAGGAAATCCAGGGTGCCTCTGGCGTTGTACTTGCCATGGGGCATTCCGCCTTCGTCACGGGGTCTGTGGGCCGCGGAATGTGTTTGGGTTCAGTAGCGCCAGAAGTCGAGGTAGAGGCCACCTCTGGGTCCACGTCAGCAATGCTGGGCACCTCCGTCCACACGCCGTTGCGACGCTTGTAGCATAACTTGAAGGCTCCAGCTTTCCTCAGCACCCACGTCCATAGAGTGTACGTGGTACCAGGACCGTAGCTGTCACCAGGGCCAAGGTCCGTGGACTCCGCCACGCCACCAGCGGGCTTCGCCGTCGCACAATCCTCAGCGTCAGTGACAAACTTTGCACTGTCCCCGCCAGGCCGAGTGTCAAGGTCATAGCCGTAGAACTTTACTGTCGCTTCCGCTCCAACGAACACACGACCTTGCTCGTCTTGACCACTAACCATTTGATAGTAGGTTGGGTTGCCGTCAAATACACGAATGACCGCAATCTCAGAACCCGTCTGGTTTCCCTTGCCATAGTAGCAAACGCGATAGGTCTCAGGGGTGTCAAAGTAGTAGTCACGTGCCCCCAGCGTCGCAGGGTCGCCAAGGTGGTTTACAGGTGGGAAAGATGACGGTATACGCATGGCGTGCCCATCGAAATAACCCGTCCCGCATTCCTTAGACAAAGCGACAAGTTTCACGACGTCTGACTGAGCCTCGTGCATATTTGTGCCCCATGGGTAACGCAGTAGGACGGTCGTCATCGCACTGCGTTTGACATACACTGTCCGAGGAACCACCGAAACTGCCACTGGCAAACGCTCCTGTTGAGTTGGCTCCGCCTGCTCCGCGAAGCTTATGATCGCACGTATGCGCAGTGAGCACTGGTGGTTCGTTGCGTCGTTCATAAAAACCAGGGACACTTTACTCATCCCCAAAAGGCGAATAACAACATTGCCGAGGGATCCCCCTGCAAGGTCCTTCACATCAAAATCCGTTACATTGACTTTCCGAGTGGCCTCATCCTCCGTCGCCGCCCGGACGACGATGCGGTGCAGGTACTCCGTCTGATGAGGCACATAGCACGGGTCCTTTTCGCCCTTTTTCATGCCCCCCATGAGGCTGCTGACCTCGTAAGCAAGACACACCAGTGTCAACGCGCGTGTCTTTTGCGGCAGTGCAAAGATGGTCGTCTCTCCACCTGCACCTGCGAACCCTTGTCGTTCGTCCCCTTGGCAGGACGGATATAAGTTCCTGCCCTGAGCAACGGTGCAGCACAGGGAAAGAATAAATAGCACGAGAAGTAGAGCCACGTTCATAGCTGCTTTCCTGTTGGTGTCTCTCTTCTTTTTTGTTTTGTTTTTACTACTAATACTACCGATGCTATTGTTCTTGTTCGTAAAGCACTCCTTTGATGCTGATAATCTACGCAGTCAGAGGCATCAGAGTGGGGGGGGGGGGGGGG